TTTTAATAGCGTGCTATTTATAATCTATTTAATTATGAAATTAATAATATTAATATAAATAAATAAATTTAAAAATCAATTTCAATTTTGTCACATCTTCATTATATCAATTTTTTTCAAGCTAAGATATGACATGTATACTTATAATATGTAATTTTTTAATTCTTGATAAAATAATTTTATATATCTCATAATAATTATTTGATTAAATTCTATTTTTGAAAAATCACTTAAATTAATGACAAATGTGAAGCTTTTAGAATATAATTTTAAAACTATATAAGTTTTCGATAATATTATGTGATTAGATATATAGATATCTTTTATTTACGTTTCTTACTGAAATCGCCGATATTGAATTCATAATCTTATTGAAATTAATCTTAAAAAAAATAGCTTGAAAAAATTAATTCATGTATATAATTTTTTTATACAATATATAATATTCATATATTTTGAATATTCAAATATATTTTATATATATCCATAATAATATAAATATTCGTTCTTAAATATAAAAGAAAATCTTAAGAAAAGTTTAGCATTGAATATATATAATGGTAAATATATTTTAACGAATATCTTGAACTAAATGAATTGAAATTAAATCAATTTTGTCATAATATATTTGATAATAAATTTTAAGATCATCGAAAATGAAAATGGTTATAAAATAAAAATTGTCATTTTATATATTTATCCAATAAAATATAAAATAATTTATTTCATTATTCCTACACAATAAAAATAATTTTCTTTAAAAATCATAATTCATTATACATATACTTAAAATGTCATTGCTAAATATTATTATAATACATGAAATGCACGATATGTAGGTTTCAAGAATATCGTACACTTTCGTTTTTCAATATAGTTTCCATATTATGCGCTCATAGAACTCGAAGAGAACTGAATTTCTCACGACTCGATTTCTCGATTTCCTGTTTTTATAATTGATGAGATATATACGCATTTGCATTCGTGTAAAACGACTACATGAATACTAGTCTGGCATCTTGACCATAAACCTGTTATTCAAAAATAGACTAACTTAACAGTTCGATCGATCTGTCTTCATGGTTGTATATTTTTTGAACACAACTTTCGAATAAAAAAATTGAAATCCTTTTCTTTTAAACGTCTCGATTCAAAATTGATTTTTTTTCTTTTCTGATTAAATAATAATTTATTATTATTTATTTAAGATCAGTTAATTTATAGTTCTCTTTTTTTATTGTTTTTGAATTTTTAAATCATAATTTTGCTGTTATTTTTAAAAATAGAAATATTTTTAATATATTTGCACAAAAATAATTTAAGTATATTGATTTTTTCTTTTAAATTAATAATTCATATAAAATTTAATTATAGATTTATGTTATAGATTAATTTTTTAGTTTAAATTTAATCAAGATTAATCAAATTTAATTAATTTTTTTATTTGATTATTTTTATACAATTTTAAAACGTATAAGTGGATTTTATTATAAAAGAGATGCACAATTATAATTGTTGTTTAATTATAATAAAAAATATTATGAATAGAATGCAAGTCAATGATTTTAATGTTAATTTAAGCATTATCTTTGAATTAATAATTTATTCCATTATAAATTATAAATTAATTTCTTTTTTCGTCTTATTATTTTATTCGTTTTTTTTTATTTCCGTTCATTTTATCATTATTTCTTTTTTAATTGAAAAATATATCGATTATATCGATAACTTAATAACTAATATTATTAATAAAATTAACTAATATTAAACTATTATTAAACTATTCAAAAATAAATCTTTCTGAAAAATAAAATATTAAGTTTCAATAACGTATAAATATTAAAAAGTATAGATTAAAAGATAAATTCCACGAGTTGATGCATTTTAATTTCATTGACGTAAGTTCTTCGAAAGAATCTTGAATAGTGATAAAACATTCGAAACTTCGAAATCTTTCAAAATCTAAATAAATAATTTATATAGATATTATACAAAAATGTGATAATATGCATTTTTATCTATTAATAATTAATAAATTTTATATTTTTTTTGTATTTTAGATTTATTATATTTATTTATTATAATTAATATAATTTTATATTTTATTATATAATTAGTATCTATAATATAATCTATTACAATAAAAAAAATATAAAAAAATAAGACAAAATTTTAATTTCTGCATATAAATTATTATATATTTATATATTATTATATATTATTGGTTAATTAAGGCTTTGAAATTTGAAGAATTTCCAAAATAAAAATTTATTTGAAAAAATTTTAACTTTTGAAAAAATAGTAAATAGATAATATTTCATTTTTCAGAAATGAAAAAAGAATAAAAATAAATATTCTAATTTCGAATTTTGAAGATTTTGCAGATTCTGCATTTATAAACTTTCGCGAATCTAAAATCAAGTTTTGTCATTAGTTGTGAACGATTATACATTCTTATCTATAAACATCGGATATTTATTTTATTTTAAAAAAATTTTTAATAAATATTTTATTTTAAAACAGATATCATTTACTGAAATGACTTTATCTTAATTCAATTATGTATTATATTTTTAATTTAATTATATAATACTATTAATAATATTTGAATGCAAAATTATTATTTTATATGTATAATCCGAAATAAAAGATTATAAGCCATTTGACATATTGAATATGATAGAATAAAATTCTATATATCTTGTCTTTTTATTTTAGAAATTTGAATCTATTTTGCTAATAATCTATTTTGCTAATAATAATAGATATTAAATACGCCATAAGACCTTATAAATACGTTTTAAATTAAACAGAAATGTACATTAATAAGAAATTATGTAATTAATAAGAAATGGACAATGTATTATATGATCATGTATAATTGTAAAGAATAATAATTTTAGAAAACAATTATTTAATTGTAATATTGAAAATATTGAAGCATTATTATTCTTTCAAAAGAGAGATATTTTATTCAAAAATTTATATTTTTGCATCAAAATTTAACATTCCAAAGTCTGCAATGTATAATACAATCAAAAAATTAAATAATTCTAGAAATTTCTTGTATAATAAAAAAAGAATTGACTTGAATAAAAGAAAAAACAACAATAATAAAACAAAATTAACAGAAAACGAGAGGATCAAATTGAGATGACAATTAAATGGCATCTTTTAGAAGCTGAATTTCGCACATATCGCTGTAAAAAAAATGGCACTTAAGAATTCCAAAAATGTTTATTAATGACTAATTATTAATGAGTAAAAACATAAAAATTGGAAAAAATATCATGGACAAGTCGAAATTTAAAGAATTTGGTATAAAAGAATGAGTTCATATATACAGAAAATACACAAATGATAAATTGATAATCGATTTTATTATTCCAATTGTAAAATATGGAAGTCAATCTGTAATGATATAGAATAGATATAGAAGTGTTTCGATGCAAATCTAATAATTTAATAAAAGTTTAAGAAATATTAATAATATCTGAATAATAGTATCTGAACATTCTTTGCAATCATACAATATATATAGAAAAAGATTA